ATGTCTGGATATGGATAAATAATGCTTTTTATCAACAGATAATTTATAATTATTATCGAGTAGTTATTACAGCTTTAATAGTAACCTTTTTAAAGTTTACTATGTAAGGAAGTTCTACGGATACGGAGGAGAATTAAGACACGTACTATGACATTCTATTTGATGTTTACATGATGTATAGTCCAAATAATAATCTTATATGTCTACGCCGTAAGTTCTACGATTTCATTTTTTTTTACATTTTGCTTTTGATTCGTATTCATTTCTAGGATTTGCTTAAAGAACACGAAACTGTAATATTTGTTAATACGTAAATAAAAGTGAATTTTAGTTGATCAATATAAGAGTACTGAGTGAGCTTAATTGTCGAGTGTGTAGTTTCGCGAGAGAGAGCGAGAGAGAGAGAGAGAGAGAGAGAGAGAGAGAAAGGAAGACAGACAGAGAGAGAGAGAGAGAACGAGGGAGAGAAAGGTGGGGAGAACACGCATGCAAATCTTTTCGTTGCAAAAAAAAATGGGCGAGTGTCGGACGATACAACCAACGTTCACAGTTTTTACAAATTTGATATTGCAACGATTTCAAAACGAGACGTCGATGTTAGTATACTGTTAACGAGCATTCACATTAACTCATATGTAACTCTCTTCAATTAGATTGTAATGAAAAAGAGACCGCAATTGTCGATTCCGTCTGTTAAAAAAAAGAGACACATTATTTATGCCGATTATGACATGTACTGTACAGTTACAAAGTTAATGCGAAAAGAAAAGCGCGATGCATAAATTTCATGGAGACACGAATCACACTTTTAGAAATATACTTTACATTTTTGCATTGTGGATAGAGGTCATCGTTATAAATTATTTCTCTTGCGAGGGATATAGAAACACAAAGCGTTCTCATGAAAGTGCTACTAAAATATTTGCCACTTAGCGTGTGCGCTATTCATGGGGATTAAATTGTTTTACCGTAAATCGTCAAAAACCGCATCGAGAATCGCTGATACGTGAAGTAAATAACTGTAAGTAAAATATCGTTAGCAGCTGCATATACATATTTTATATATATATTAAAAATATAATATAAATATATATATATATATATATATATTTTATATATATATAAAATATGATATGTTTTATATATACATATATATATAAATATACACAAATTTGAGTAACAGCGGTATAGACAAGTACATTTGAAAATTGTGGGAGACCAATTGTAGAATAGCTCTCTTTAAAAAGGAGGAAAGAAAATGTAAATGTGTAATCAAAAACTTTTGAGAAACATCAGTTCTATTGTCGTCACAGAAAGAGAAATACCCCGATACACAAATTACTTTTGTCAACCAAAGGGATGTTCCAAAAATTCAATAAGTTCGCAATAATGTTCCTTGAAAGGTAAATCTTATAAATATACGTACGATTTTGAATGGTTGTCAAATATAATATTACTTGTTGTTATTATCATTTTTCGGAACAAACATGCGATGAGATGATTGCGATTATTTAATTTCTTGTTTTAAATATAAATTTTTGTAATATTTCATTGTCGACCTTCAGAAGTATTAATCGTAAAGCTTGTTTTTAGTCATGAAACCAAAGTATTGCATTATAATGTTTAATCAATCATCTAAAATCGAAAGTATATTTTACGGTTTATGTTGTTTTCAATAAAATACCAAATTTTTTTTCAACTACTCTGGACATCTTATAATCTTAAACAACTTCGTATATACATGCTTATGAAGGTACTATACACACGAATACACTACTCGTAAACGAGACATGTTGGAGTAGTCGGAACAGAGTACGACTAACAGAATAAATACATATACTTTTCCGTTTCATATCAGTATATTTTAGAATATTTTTCAATTCTGTATGCTCGGTCGAGCATTACGGGCAAAAAAATATTAACTATACCGTGTAACAAAATAAAGTAACGAAAAGGATACAAAGTATTTTAAGGAAAGAAAATATGTAAACGAAATGTGAAATTCAGATCAAACAGTTTGTTCTCGTAATAACTATTACACATTAATAATTTTTGTATTTTTGTCAAAGTATTAATCTATAAAACGAAAATGCAAGACGCATTATGCCATTACTGCTATTAATATTATAATTAAAAGAAAAAGAAATAGCTACTACTGTGTATAAATATGAATATCTGAAAATAAATGTATTAAAGGAACCCTGTGACATACGAATATCTTATATGTAATACTTTTGATTCAGAGCTTAAATATTCAATATAGAAAAATGCCTTTTAATGCGGTAATATCGAATTTTTTTCGAGTATTTTATAAATACCGAAATTTAATCTAATCGCATTATTCTTATCATATTGAATTTTCATTTGCCTTTTATTAATTAGCCGAGTTACTTAAGAGCAGACAATTACTCGGAAAAAACGGATACTGCATAGATTATATGTATATGATTTCACAGCAACATTTATTATATTATATACCAGTCTCAAAAAATAACGAATACTAGTCCTTGCACATGCATTCAGATGCATACTTGCACATATTCGTATAAAATTCTGATATAATAAATTTTGGTAAAACTGATGTTTAAGTAAACAGCTTCGACAACCTTGACCTCCATACATCGTTAAAAGTACTTATAAACAAAAATTATATGTGTAATGTCTAGAAAGTATGGGTTAGAAAGTTTAGGAAACTCAATACTAATCACTACGCCCTTGACATAGATTGTCAAAGTTGCTCCAAGGAGGAAATCCTCTTCTCTGATTACTCAACTGAGTTCTGACCTTCAGAATGATTTAGTCATCATTAGCTATTAAACATTATATTAACGACTTAGTCAGACAAATCTGCAACGTCAAATTTTGTTTAATACCTGTTGTAAGTTTTTGTATATACGTTATATGTATATTCATTGTTCTGTGACAGACCGAAGGAAAAAAAACACAATCGCATACGTTCTAAACGTATTTCAATGTGCACTGAGCATCGCTTGTCAAATTCACTGACAAGTGTGATCGAGAATCCAACGAGACGACAGGTACGATTCGAATATCCGCGGCGCGTGTTTCAGATGGAGCAACAGGCATACGCATGCGCGAAAAGAGTGAAACCGCGAGCACGGTAAAGTGAGACAATTACATTGGTTTTCGGTGACAACACGGTATTCAGCTGTGAACTGTCAACCAATTATTTTGACAGACATCGGTGTTGTTTACAAATTTCGCATGATTAAAAAAATAAAAGAAATAGAAAAATATAAAGGAATATTTTTTTCTACATTGCTGTTTGCAAAAATTAAGATTAACATTTTTATGATCTAATAATGAAGAATGTTGTTGTTAATAGGTTAGACACCACTGGAATATTATTCTCGTTATCAAAACAGTATTAGGACCGTGATGTAATATTAATAATTTTCAAATACATATTATGAAATGGTTACTATGTGTCATCAACAGATATTTGCTCTTGACGCCAAGTATAATGCACAACGCGTAAACAAGCTACCTTGTCTAGGTTTGTATACTTAGTTATCTTGTATAGAAACATGTAATATTTAAATTGAGAAATGATACAATTATAGGAATGCTTTACATACGACGTAGAAATCAATTATTGAAAGAAAAATTTTGTAAAGATCCAAAAGTCTGCGAAAGGTATTTGAAATTAAGAGCAAAATTATTGTTTTTACGATACGGTGAAAGTTTGGAACAAAATAGTCTTGGAAGTCATACAACCGAAGAGGAGAAGTCAGAGACCAAAACAAAATTATGTAGTATACAAAGAAAATCGATAGCCGAGAATTTTGCATTTGATGGAGTGCATCATGTTTTTGATCAACATAATGCACCCGTAACAATGCTAAAATTTGCGAACAATGACAAATCAAAATTGTGTTGCGCATCGTTAGATGGACTATTATCGATATGCGAGACTATTAGCACGCCACCTAAAGTAATTGCATTACTGAAAGGTCATAAGAAAGGAGTTACTGCACTAGATTGGAGTATCAGTAATGATCTCATAGTTTCATCTTCTTTGGATAGTACTATAAGACTGTGGAACGTCGCTACAGAAACTAGACCGGCTTTCTTACGGGAAGTTAAGGATCAACAGAGAGCAGAAGTATTATGTTGTGGATTTATACCTATAAACAATAATTTGGTTGTGGCTGGCAACTCGCAGGGATATGTACAGGTCTTAAATATTTCTACTGGTATATATACACGTGGTGGATCTTGTAAAATTGGAGGGAAAGTTAGTTTCTTTCTGCCTCTAATAATAAAAAATAAATATACAATTAGCTTATGTCATTTTAACATATTCTACTCTGATGTAGATTTTATCATTAACTTGCGAAGGTAGCGGTGGTTTAGTGATATGGGCTGGAAACGATAGAGGAATTATTATGTCATTTCAACTAGAACCAGGAACTGGACGATTAACAAAGTTACGTAGAGTACAAGAAATTGGTGGCATGATAACAAGTCTGTCGTGGCGTTCATGGTTCTCAAAAAATGCTCCGTGGCCAGCACTTTTAGTGAGCAGCGCTTGTAATGCGATATTATTATATCACATCACTGATAATCAGGGTTCTTTATCACTTTGGACTAAATATCCAATAAAACATAAGTAATTTATTCTTTGAATATACTAATGATTACTACTTAAGATTCAGAAAGTAAAATAAAATTCTGTTTTTCTTTTATAGGCAGTATTTTGTCAGATCTACGTTTGGTCCTCAAATGGAGTCGTGTTTAATAGCTACCGGTTCAGAGGATGGTACAATCCATTTACTAGATTCGGCTAGACAGGGCAAGGCAGTAAAAATTAATCGACTTGAGGGCCATGCAACACCAACACTTGCATTATGTTTTAATTACGATGAATCTCTTCTTGCATCTGCAGATCATCAAGGGCTTATTATTGTGTGGCGTAACCGACAGCGTCATATATAATTTTTCCAGAAAAGTATAAAACTCTACTATGTAAATAAATGTGTTACAGAAGTAATTGTTGTTAAATATTTATAATACAATTTAGAATTAAAATTTCTTTTCTGACTGCATAAAAACTACTTTATCCCACTACCCTTGATGTAGCACAGTACAGAGTACAGACTGATCTGTAGATTTATTTTTGTGATATCCTGATACCAAAACATTCTATTATCTAAAAATTTCATTCAAGTTCTCTATTAGGTGATAATGTATCTGAATAATACCATGATTACCAAATACTATCTAATAAAAATTCTGTAGATTCATAAACTAGAAACCATTAGCTAAAATGTAGCTTACACGGATTTTCGAACATTTTAATAATAGTAATCGAGACTCCTATGGGGCGAAAAGTACAAGTCGAATATCGCGCCATGTGTTTGAGTGGAGCGCTAGGCGTACGCATGCGCGAAAAAGTGCGGTAAAGTGCAAGCGCGGTAAAGTGAGCGGCTTAGATTTCTCGTCCGTGTGGGCACACAATAGCGCCCGCTGGTTTCGTTCTGTCTCTCTCAATCATCTCCTGTTCTCTTGCTAAAGCAACTGCGCGGAGCTGGATGCGCTTAAAAACGTGGGCGCTTAAAATGAAGAGGCAAAAATCGCTTACTATGAAGAGGCAGTACTGTAAAATGCAGGATGCAAAGAATTACGGAATTGGTAATTTATGGTATAGGAAATAATAACAATGAGACACACGTTCTGAGCAATTAAGTCTCTGTTCTGTATAACAATATATTAATTGTTCTCTATTAATATTCTATATGTATATTATAATGAGCACTGAGTTAGCGGTATTAATAATAATCCTAATAGTAGAAATCACGTAATGATTGCTGTACTACTAACAGTAATTGTAGAATGCAAATTTCTTAATTTCACGTATTAATCTGAATAAAATGCGATAGTGCAAGTACCAAATATGTTAACTTATTATTTTGGGAGGATTCAGTTATTATAGCAATCCATCCTGCATTTATACGATCTTTTTTTTTCGTTATAGCAATATTGAAAGCTTCCGCAAAGCATTTCTTATGTGAATCACTTAATAATTATTAATGTATCATTGGTATTTGTCATTTTCTACATAGCATATTCTCAAATAAATATCCCGTACTCTTCGTC